GAGGCCTTGATGGCCTTAAATAGGATTAATTAAATAAAGATATGGACTGAAGATAATGCTGACAATTAGTGTGTTAAGCAAGTTCACAGAACATCTAATGGAACAGGAGACAGGGGACTCTGCTGCAGGATGCCTGGTTTCTGAATCCCAAATTGCTTTATCTGGGCAACAAACATCCAGGACAGATTTCAGGTCTCCCAGCATTGAACGTGAAGTGTTCACTTTAAGTTGCACTGGCTTTGTCTTTAGTTTTTAAGCACTGATGCTTTTTTGCATTCTGGTCCTTTTTTCATTCGAAGTTGCACTTTGGATGATGAACCACTATTTTGGAGCTGGAGTACCATAGCAAATTGATGCGTAAAATTAGCTAAAAAGCACACTTCTATTTGGGCTCGCCTATTAGTTTGACAGTTTTCAAAATCTATTTCTGTAAAATAAAATTTCTCCAGAGGTATCTATTTTCCTCTATTGATTATAAGAGAAACTTAGATGACAAACTTGGATGACAACCTCAGACATGAGTTTCTTAACTTCTGGATGTCTCAAATTAGGTTAGATGGGGCCCACCTCAGGTGTTCAGTCTAAGCCTGTTATTAAGTTATCCATTATAATGGGACAGGCATGCCCAGAAGGTGATATTGCCCATCCTAGCATAGGAAAAGTGAAGAATGCACAAATCTCTGGAAATGTCCCTCTCTCTCCTTTCTGCAAGAATCCTAGAAGATATTTAGAATAGGTCACAAACTTAAAGATAAGCCAAGAACATCACACTTTTCACTTCTCACCCTTGTGCAGGAAACGTAAACAGTAACAGTACTGTTCTTCCCATTACAGGAATGAATTCATTACCAAAAAAATTCCGAATTGCCTCAGTGGGCAAGATGGTGAAAAGGGTGCAAAAATACTCTATTTTTTAACCCTGTGTAGCTTCTGGGCAGGATAGCTGCTGTGCCTTAAATGTGTATGATTCTGCCCTCTTCTACACCCTCTTGAGATCCCTCCTGCAGTGCTGCATCCTCCTCTGGGGGCCCAAATATAAGGAGGACATGGAGCTGTTGGATTGAGTCCAGAGGAGACCACAAAGATGCTCAGAGGGCTGGGGCAGCTCTCCTCTGAAGACAGACTGAGAGAGCTGGTGTTGTTCAGAGTGGAGAAGAGAAGGCTCCAGGGACACTTTACAGCATCTTCCTGTGCCTGAGGGGCTACAAGAGAGCTGAAGAGGGGGTTTTAACAAGGGTCTGGAATGACAGAAGGGACGGGAATAGCTTCAGACTGAAAGAGGGCAGGTTTAGGTCAGCTTTAGGAAAAGAATTGTTACTGTGAGGGTGGTGAGGCAGTGGAGCCTGCTGCCAGAGAAGAGCTGTGGGTGCTCCATCCCTGGCAGTGACCAAGGCCTGCTTGGATAAGGCCTTGACCAACCTGGCGCAGTTGGAAGTGTCTCTACTGCTAATGGAGATGTAGATGATCTTTAAGGTTCCCTTTCAATCCAAACCATTCTGTGATAGTTCAATGAAGTTTTGGGAACAGTTAGTTCTGTGTGGGTGGATGGACAAGGCCACATCTTAGATTAGTAAGATGCGTTCTGCAGAATGACTCTTGTGTAATTTGGCTGTTGTCCAGGTATGAAGACATGGGGAGAAGGAGAAAACCAAGCTGAGGATGATGCCTAGGAAAAGCATGACTGACAGGTAGAATGATAATATTGTCCACAGTGATTGAGAATGAAGGTGGAGGATAGAAAAAACAGGTTTTGGGCAGAAAAGTTCAAGAGCTCAGTTTTATACATATTGAGCTTGTTCTGACAGCTAAACATCCACCAGGATGTGGAAAGACAGACCAAGATTTTGGGTTGGACAGGAGTCAGTCCTGAAGCAGAGAAATTAGTTCTGCAAGCTGTCACTACAGCAATAGCAGCTGAATTTGTGTTGGTGGAAAAGGCTGTTAGGGACAAGACTTGGAATAGGAAGAGAAGAGAACGATAGGAAGGAACCTGTTTATGTCCCCATATGGATGGGAAACAGAGACAGGAGGGAAGGAGTAATCAAAACTAAAAGTACAGGACATATAATTACTGTAAATATGTTATAAATACAAGCAAAAATACATGAAGATTATGATCTATTATAAAGGATGATATAGAAATCCCCTAAAACAGTCTCATAAAGTTGATGAGCTAATAGAAAATATGATCTAAAAAGACAAAAAGGAAGTTCTCTTGACAGGTAGGTAAAAAAGGATCTTTGTTCCTGCTCAAAATTAGGGGATTTTGGGTAGCTTATTTCTAAAGGAAATTGATTGTGTAAACATTGGAAAGATTTAGACTTGATGGACCCTTAGGAGAAACAAGCGCCTTGCATTGTGAAATGGGTTTGTAATGGCTGATGGTCAGGCACTTGTCCAAGGTAAGGTTAATTAAAAAAAAAAAAAAAAAAAAAAAAAATGAAAGGAACTTTCATAAAAGAAAGTTGCCTTTTGAAACTATTAGGCAACATATGTTGTGTGAACAGGAAGTCACAGCAGAGCAATAATCCTGACAGCTGTGGAGAAACAGGAGTCTGCCGCAGGAACGAGCGGCCCGAGACCTGACAGGAATGATGATGGATGCCCTGCTGGTGGTACACGAGGACAAACCAGGAGATGCTGAAACTGGCTGAGCCACAGCAACAGCGTTGAGTTGGCATCGCAGCCGGGCAGATGAGGCCAGTCCTGGTGGCGAGAGGAATGGAAGGGGGCTGAAGGAAGATGGCAGAGACGCCCCCCTCCTTTCCAAGCACGATGGGCTGCGTCTGCATCTCACCACGAGGTGGCTGCATTTCCCTGTGAACATCCAAACTAGTCCTGAGCGCCGCTGCAGGCCCCAAAGTACCATGAAAACAAGAATGGGCACTGAGATCCTGGCAGGATTTGGCCTATCTCCTTCAAAGAGCCTTAGAAATTTTGAGCCACCATGGGGAAAAACCACAGAGGCTCCATGTCTTCATTGAGTGTTGGTCACTCTGCAGGTCCTCACAGATCTGCAAAGATATGGTGGCATTGTTGTGGCTGCTTGTAGCTCATGGGAGACACAAGGCAGTGCCATGTAACTTAGCTTATTATGAAATTATTTTCCTCCTTGGTTTTTCTGTGAACTATGAGTATGTACTGTGAGGTTCAGCCGATCCATGGAAACTTGATTCTGAGTCTGGGATGGCCATCTAATAAAGGATAAATTGTGTTGCTTTTTCAGATGCCCAGCTCTGGTTATTATAGAATGTTTCTATAACAGGTGTTTGAGTCAGATAAGTCAAGAGGACAAATGGTCCCATAAAATTGATCCATGAAGTGGCCAAGTTCTCAAGTGTTTTGTATATCCTAAGCTCAGGTGATACCACCAGGATGGAGTCATAAATTGTTCCCAGGTGGCTGTGAGATGAGTATGTTTTTCTAATCCAAAGTGTTGGGAAAGTAGGAAGGGAAAGGCCTGGGGAGGAATAATGATATTTTGGGTATACTATATCTAGACAAAATCTTTAACTCTCCTTGGGTTTTTTCTGTTTTTTCATGTCTGCCTCTTGCCTTTGTCACAGGAATTTGCAGGGTTTTTGGGATGAGGACTGACTTTTTACTAAACCTTTTTGTGGTACCACACCCTACTGAATTGAAATTCTTGATGTCAGCTTATAGACTATCACTTTGGGTCAAAGTTTGAAAGAATGTCACTAAAAGTACCTCTTTAACCTGTCTCAGGAAAGACATCCATAATATATCAGTATGGGATGTCAGCATCAAACCCAATGTCTGTTTTTTTTTAGGAGAAGCCTTTTAGGAAGAGACTCTTAAAAGTATTTAAGTTCTTCAAAAAATGGAGACCCCATATTTGAGGAGACATTTTTGGTACCATCACTGGTAAACATGTACCATTTTTAAACTGATTTGTCTAAGATGGGGTTCCAAAAAATGAGATCTTGATAGTTTGCTAGTTTTAGAAACCTTTTTGCTTGTAAGGAATTTTCCTTTTTCATCCCTGCACAGATCTAGAGAAAATCTGTCGGGCCCACTTTAAACTTATTTGGATAAATTCATGAATTTACATTAGAGTCTCTTACTGAAAGGGAGATTGTACACTCTCAAATATTTTTAATTGAGCTTTCTTGTATCCTTTCCAAGTTGTCAACATGCTTCTTAGCCTTCCATGATTTACACTGTGAATAATTAGTAATAAAAATAATACACTATTATAATAAACCAAAACAACTTGTTCCAGATTTTCTTGTCCTACTGACAGTAGAATGCCTTATATCCTTCTCTGTCTCATGGTGGTGCACGGATATCTATTTGCATAGAAATACAACCCCATTTCTGTTTAATTGAACAGTCAGTCTTGAAACTCCATATGATTAAAAATTTGTGCAAGTGGACTGATCCCTCAGATATTTCCTGGAAGATCCAGTAATTGGTCTGACACCAAGGTCTGATACCTTTCAAGGGGCAGATGAAGGGGACCAGATTATGCCCAGGTTGGTGCTTTTGTGGTAACAGAGACAGGCACCCATCACTGTTGTGATTTGTCTCTAGCCCCTAGTACCATGATGTGGACATGCTTCTCTCTGCTGAGAGCTGGCAAAAAGTCCTTTATCCATTGCCTAGAGACAGGTGCTCTCAGAGGAGGGAAAATGAAAAAAACCATTAGACACCATTTTTACTTGATTCATCCCTCTGAAAATTGAGAGGTTGTGCCCATGGCGAGTCTGACCCAAACTTTTGGGCATGTGTGAACCATACATCTTTTTTCAGGCCATCAAAACTGCTGGTGACAGAACACAGCACGCATTGGGGTTCTGTGCCTGTGAGGAATTCCACTGCCATCCCAGCCTTTCCTCTGCTGAGTTAAGCACACCCAAGGCCCTGGGTCTGGATGATGAGTTGCAGAGCACAGGTAAATAATTTCTCCTCCTCAGTCAGGCCCCAGGGCAGCCAGGGCTGGCCCAATTCTCACTTGCCCGTGTGACAGAGCTACTCACCGGCATTGTCTGGCTGCCATGCAAGGCGTTGATGGCAGCTTGGGCCTCTGCATGTGAAGAGTATTTCACAAATGCACACCCTGGAAGAGGAAAAAGAAGAGCGTAAGAAAGTTTGCATGGGTACCATGAAATTCCACCTAGCCAAGTGTCCTGTCCTCAGAACTGACTGATAATATGGCTGTGAAGAAGGTATAAAAAAAAAAAAAAAAGTGTCCTGTGTTGCAGACATCTTTTCATGAAAAATCCTTTCCTTAGGATTTTTCCTCCTGAGAAGCTGAGAGGCCTCAGGAACAAAATGTAAACAATAATTATCTGCTGCTGTGGATCAGGTGGATCTGTGATTGGTCTCATGTGGTTGTTTGTAATTAATGGCCAATCACAGTCAGCTGGCTAGGACACAGAGCCTGAGACACAAACCTTTGTTATCATTCCTTTCTGTTCTTAGCTTAGCTAGCCTTCTGATAATATCTTTTTCTTCTATTCTTTTAGAATAGTTTTAATGTAATGTATATTATAAAATAATAAATCAAGCCTTCTCAAACATAGAGTCAGATGCTCGTCTCTTCCCTCATCCAAGAACCCCTGTGAACACCACCACAGTCCTGGTCCTTTTCCAGAGTCCAGACATCAGCAGCCTGAGGACCTCTTAAGGCTCAGCTGCTTCCAGAATTCCCACATTACTTGTAACAAGTACTGACAGACACAAACTTAGCAAGAACATCTTGAATCCAGTCATGTTTTGACATCCACAGCTTTCCATGGCAGAATCTTGCACAGTTTTACAATTTATTGAGCGAAAAAGCTGTTTCTTTTATTGATATTAGACCTAATGATGAGCGTTCCTCCCTCTGTGGTTGTGAGAAACAGCATGGAATCGTGTGCAAGTCACTGGAAAGCTGCACATTCTTGACACAAGCAAGCACAGGACAAATGTACAGAAGGTATTTGAGTTACTCCAAACCCACAAGGTACCTTATGATTTCACTGCTTGGTAGAGCTCTGTGACAGACTGCCCAGAGCCTGTCTTGGCTCCAAGCCACTTAGGTCTGGCAAAGCATGAGACACCTTCTGGTGAAGTAGCAGGGGTGGGAGAGGTACCCATGTGTTGATTACCATCCTGCCACCACTGAAACTTGAATCTTAAGTTTTTCATAGCTGCAAAGTCGGTGCCTGTGTAGGTGTTCTCTTCTGGACATTAGAGAAATGTGGGCAGTGTTTCTCTGGCCTGTATTGCTGTGTGGGGAATCTCACACCAAACTCTTACGTAAGGTTTTAGGGCAGAAAGGTGCATTTATGGGTGTGCGCTAGAGTGCAGAAATGATCAACTCTTCAAAGGGTTACATGCACTTCTAGGGTGGGGGAAAGTATTGCCAACACTCCCAGCTACAAGCAAACTGACTCAGAGATGGGAAGGGTAATTTCCATATGCTAAGGCAGTTTCTGGAACAGATTGGGAGAGATCTGAGAAGTTTTGGCTTCCGTCCCCTTCTATTACTACCAAGGACTTTTGAGCTTTTAATCAATTTGCAAAGCCCTCTTGGTTTCCCTGAAAGGGTGCAGATTGCAGGGCACAGGATGCCAGTCCTGACAGTGGGACGGCTCTCCAGCCCCTTTGCAGCAAGTTTAGAAAGTCTTCATACCCCTTTGGATCCCTACAGCACAGGGTGGAATTAGAAGAGGTGCAAAGTAGAAGAATGAACCCCAAAGGTTCCTAAAATCATCACTGCAGGCTGATAGAAGTGAGATTGAAGAAAGCAGTGATAGCCTCTTCTAAAAATAATATACACATATAAAATATCTAACAGTTCTCTTTGAGGGCTGTTCACTTTGCATCACCCTCCCAGCACTGTGCTCAGGCTGTATTTCAGGAAAGGCCCAATGATTATTGCTAATAGTTGGATCTAATTTATAAGGAGCTGAGAAGAGACAATCATGAGAAAATGAGATAGATAAACTTCAGCTGGAAACAATAGGGATCAATTATGACATAATCCCAGCCCAGCATTCCCAGGCTCCTGAGATACTGCGTCTTCCTCTTCATTAATCAGAGATAATCCAGAATTAGAGTGTTTAATTATTTGCAGAGATTCTTTTGTACTTTCTGCCTCTAAAAAGAAGATGCTGATTAGCAAATATACAAAAGCTTTCCTGTTCCAGTCACCAATTTAATTTAGAGCAGGATTTTTGGCTGTGGTGCTGCTGTCATGTTGAAGGCTTCACTCTTGTCAGGTGAAATTCACCCCTGTGCTGAGGGTCCTGATGGATCAGTGGAGCTGGATAAAGGTGGGAATAAAGGGAGTAGCAGGCATTTATCTTGTTTAATGCTCAGGATGCTAATGGGATCCCTCCTACTGCTTTCTATTAACTGCTTCCAGTAGGTTTTGAGGTAGCAGGATGAGTGAAAACTCAGCTTTTACTGGTGTAAATGGCAAGGCAATAGCACAGATCCCAACATTTTGTCCTTTTTGTTTGTGCATTCAATCAGATGGCTTCTGTACACAGCACCAGAAGTGCACATAATCTTCCTTGCCATTGTGACCAGAGCTGCCTCCAGGAGCGGGTGAGCTGAGGATGTGAGTCATGTCACTCTCCTCAGAACAATGGTGTCCTTCTGACAGGAGCAGCTCCGGAGTGTGAAGGGATTTTGACACACACAGAGATATAACCTCTGCTGAACAGGGTGATACATGTGCTTAAGGTTTTCTTGTTCCTTTGCTCCCAGGCTAGGGCTGGAAGAGGCTGCCCTGATTGTTTTGTCAGCTTGGAGGAGGCTGAAGAATCAGGCCCTAGGATTGTAATTGCACAGGGGAAGGCTCTTCTTGTGGAGGGTGCTGGTGGAAGTTTTTACTTTTTGAGTTTTTACTTTTTTACTTATTGAGGCAGGCTGCTGAATAGGAAAAAATTAGGAAGGGAAAAAGAATAGCTGCACAGAGAGCAGCAGCAATGAAGACTCTGTGGGTCCTTCTGGATCCACTTCAGGTCCCTCACCTGAGAACTCCTGGACCCTGGTGAGCTTTACCTGGAGTGGTGCAGAAGCATTCCATCCTCTCCCAGGGTGCTGCATTCCCCTCCAGGGTGAGAAATTCCTCAGTCCCTGCTCTTCTGCCACTTGGTTACCTGCTCCAGCCACCGTTCCTAGCACTGCCACTCATGCAGGAGGTATTTCTGCAGACTCTGAAGGCCATGGTCCATGGCTCAGGAGAGCACCCACGGCTTCAGGAAAGGCTTGGGCAGCTTTTTGGCTATGCCTGGGCTGTGATGGGATTAAACTGGGGAGCTGCTACCCAGCTTCTGAGAGCAGTGCTTGCACTGAGCTACCTGAAGGGTGTAGAGGCTCACCACAGGGATACCTGGTGGGCTGGGCAGGATTAAAGTGCATGGGATCTGACTGCTATCTGGAATTTAGACAATCTGCTTAAATCTCAATTTACATAGAATTTAAGCCTTATGGGTTTTGCCCAAAATAAGTAGCTCACAAGCAATGTGTGTCACATATTGGTTTCTAGCAGATGGAAAACATTACAGACTGGGAATAACTTTGTGGGAGTTGTGGCTTGCCTGACTGTCTCCTAAGATAAGGGCACTAGCCTTAAGTTTTCCATTGGATTGACTGCTCTGTGTGCATGTGTGCATGCACGAAACCGTGTGTGTGTAAATTAGGAGCTTCACATTCTCAGTAAATAGCACCAGCAAATGGAAGCTGGTAATATTAACTCTGTCAAGGCTCAGTATTGATCCTGAACAGCTCAGTGAAACGTCAGCCTGAGACTGCAGTCTGCTAGCACTAATAATTAAACTGGTTAGCAATATGGAGCTGCCACTCAGATTCTGTCTTATAATGAAATTGTTTTAGAAGGAAAAAAAAAAAAGATAGAGCAAGTATGAAGACAAGTCTGTGGGTTGGTGTCCTCTGGAATTTGTTTCTTACAGAACTCAGACTTTATTGCCTTTATTATTACTCTGTTTAACTCCTTTGTCATTAAATTTCATTCCAGGTGGAAGCAGCCTGACATGGTTTTTTTTTGCTTTTTTCCCAATTTACTGATTTGTTCAGTGAATGACATGCTTAACTGTCTGCTGTTATGATGGCTGGAGCTTCTCTAGGACCTCCTAGCCTACTACTTCCCTGTGGGCCAGCCCCTGTCTTTGTGTGTGGTGGAAATGAAGTGACCCCAAAACAGAAAAAAGCCACCCACAGTTTATTTTCAGCCATTTATACCAAGAAGGCTGATCTGTGCTGATGTGTGTTGAACAGCTATGAGGCTGGTGTAAAGTAATTTTTTTGGTCACCAGTGATTTTATGGAATAACAATGTCTTTCTCCAGTGCATCACTGCGATTTGGATTTTTTTGCAAAAAATTTTGATTTTGCAAAAAATCCAAATCGCAGTGATGCACTGGAGAAAGACATAGTTGCAAAAATGTGCTGGTTGATGTTCTACCTTGTCAAAATATCCAGTGAGATAAGAACTGTGTGAAGACTGGCCTCTTCTCTGGTGTTGCACATACCCACACATTTTATGCTATATTATATGCAGATCAATATTTAATGGATACATTAATGAACAGGAGGAGAGGGTTTCCTATTCAGATTGAAGTTACTTTGTCTAGAGACTTTTGGGGAAAAAGATGACCTTCCTGCACCAGAAAGAAACCTCACTCTCATGCCTGGGCTGTAGCAGAAGATCTTTTGTGCCATTCAGGTAAAAAAGTGGCAGAAGGAGGTAAGGAACCTCAATGTTTTTCAATGAAATATTTGCGTGTTTCAAACAGTAAATGAGTGTAATATTTAAACTGGCACCTGTACCCTTGCAGCTGCAATCACTGGCTGGTATGAGCCCATACAAAGAGCAGGTGAAGAAAGGAAAGACCTGGGGCTGGTGGATGAGAGGCAAACAGAGGTGATGATGGAGCCAGTGAGCCAAGATTTAAAGTATCAATATTGGCTTTTTTTAAAGAAAGAGCCATCCTGTTCAACAGGGTGGGGAGAGCACATCTGGAGTGAATGTAAAGACCCTGTTCAGAGGGGAGGCAGGAGTTTGCATGTGGTGACCCACAGCCCCCTGGAGATGAGTGTTTCCCAACGTGATCAGCGTTTTCCTCTGACACACAAGCAGAGAGCAACCAGCAGAGTAAAAATGTGCCCCCTCCTAAAGTAAAAGGAGCTGTTCTGGGGGCTGCATGATACGTTTGTCACACCAGAAAATGGTATATACATGAAGAGCAGGGTCTAGCTCAGCACAGGGCATGCCTTACCTTTGCTGTTGCCATCGGGTCCCCGGAGGATCGTGCACTCCTCGATGTTGCCAAACGCCTCGAATAGCCTGCGCACATCGTCTTCCGACTGCTGCTTATTGAGCATGCCCACAAAGAGTTTTCTGTCTTCTGGAACAAAATAAAGAGATGCTTACCATATTTCAGGAGGGCTGTGAAAGCCAAGATGGCTCAGCACCACATGCAACACAAGCAGTCACTTCACCGAGGTGACACACCTCAGAAGCTGATAGTCTTTTCAAGTGACCGGCTCGAAAAAACTTAACAGCCTCTGACTTCACATGAGTACTTGGAAGTAATCTAGCAAATTTTGGAAAAACCAAACCACCAAACAACAAACAAAAATGGTTTGGTTGTTTATAAAATCTTTATCTGCGTCTTAAAACCTAGGCACCAAAGTCTTCCAAATCAACTTCTTCTGATCAATTTTTGCAGTCAGTTTGCAGTAACTGAAATGACAACATTGCTCAGACTGCAATCCAAGAGGAATGTGATAAATATAGTATATTGGAACCAAGTCCAAATGAAAAATAACATAAGTTAGTAGCCCTCGCAATACTAAATAAGTTGCAGGAAAAAAATGTTTAACATAAGCTTTTTAAAATCAGTATATAACGGAAGTCACAGCCTGTAAACTGGAGATTTGTCATTCATGCCCACTCAGAGACATGAATCTACAAGTTTGGATGAGATTTTTAATATATTTATAAAGTTCATTTGAAATAAACCCAAAGATTTTGAAACTTAAATTGTTTTTTGAAATATAAAGTAAACGTATACAATTGTTAATATATGAGATAGCTCAGGCAGGTGGTATTTCATGCCAAAGCAGGATGTTTTCTGCTAGTGGATAATTGTGGTTTGAACAAGGATGCTCAGTGCGACCCAGCACTGTGCACTCACAGGACCAAACATGTCCTGGGCTGCACCCAGAGCCCCGTGGGCAGCAGGGCAGGGAAGGGATTCTGCCCCTCTGCTCTGCTCTGCTGAGACCCACCTGGAGCACTGCATCCAGCCCTGGGCTCCCAGCACAGGAACCACAGGGACCTGCTGGGGTGAGCCCAGAGCAGATATTGGAACTGAATGATCTTCAGGGTCCCTCCCAACCCAAATGACTCTATGATTTGTACTTGGCCTTAAACCAAGCTTGGGGATCCCCATGGGACACCTCCAGAAAATAATGGTGAAAAAAATAAGATTGTCAGAAGGATCTCAGAGGGGGCTGAATGATGCCTCTCGTTCAGGTTTCTGTTCAAAGACTACTACCATTACACCAAGAAAAAAAGGAAATTTACATAGTTTACATCGTGTATGTAAACAGGCCATTTGCACATGATTCATAAATGTCTTATTTATGATTCATTAAACACTATGTAAATGTGTGAACCAAGAGGGTTTTTTCAGAGCACGTTACTGAGCAGATGTAACTAATTTGAATAAATATATGTAAATATCGAAATAATTTTTTAAAATTTAATTTATTTTTTTAGCGTGCAGGTTAACCTAAAGCTGAACAAAACACTGGTTTGCAATAACCCTTTTCTGGCTGACTAATTGGGCAATTCATGTCACTTTTGTTCACTGAGAAATCACTGGAGTAGGCAATCTGTTCTGCTTCAAACCAGTGTTTGATCAAAATTCCCCTCTCCAAGATGCACCTGCACATTGGCAAATTACTTTACAGCCTTGGATGTGAATAATTTTTCATGCAGTGGCTATTGAATGAGGATATTAGGAGCTTTCAACCCTGCAGTCGAGTTATTCACGACAACGAAAAGTGTACTGCCCACAGAAAAGCAGGAATTATGTTGCCTTCAGCTAGGTTGCTGAACTGGTAGGAAAAATAGGTTTAGGGAGATACAGGTACACCTCTGATAGGTGAGAAAAACAGAAATAGCCTTCTGATAGACCTGTTAAAGTAAAGAATACTCCTACTTTATGTTGGAATTTATTATGCAGAGAGGTGTTTGGAGGTCTTTGCTGGCAACAAAAAGTTCAGATTGTAGTGGTGCACAGAGCCCCACCTAACACCACACAGTTTGTAGGTTGTCCCCACCTCACAAGAAGGTGGTTTGGACATATGAAAGGCTTGTTTTCCCAATGGCCTAAGTGTCCTGCAAAAGAGACTCCAAGATGTGAGGTACAAGCCTCGGAGAAGCAGCTGGTGAAGTTCATGGTGTGCACTGGGGAGCATCTTTCAGTCTTGGGCATTATAGAGCCTTAGGAAACGAGTCCAGTGCAAAGTCCAAAGGTTTCCCAGATGTTAGAAGAAAACCTGCCTAGCAAATGGAACCAGCTTCCTGCAAGATATTTTAGGAAGAGGGCAGATGAGCTGGAAAGAGCTAGCAACATGATTGGCAAAAGGTTTTGTCTAGAAACTTTGTGCCTGTTAAATGCTTCCAGCACAACAGAAGAGCTTTATATCGTACTTTATACAGCTTCCCCTGTTTCAAATAAGCTGCATCAGCAAAAGCACTCCTCTGGCAGTGTAACTGTTTTCACCAGACTTTTTGCTAATATAAATGTATCATTAAAAAAAAAAAAATCACATCCCTCCTCTGTCAGCAAAACTCTCTAGTGTGGAACTGGCCTGAAACTGCCTTGTCTGGTCTAGTTTATGCAAAGCTGAAACCAGGTGTTTTAGGAACTGCTCAAATTATTATTTTTACATCCCCCACCCTACATCTTTGCAGTGCACTGGGCCTGCAGTGGCTGGCAGGTGATGTGGTGCTTTGGTGAGCTGCCCATGGGATGGGCATCTGACCATCAGGGGCAGGCCCTGCCAAAGGAGGGGATCCCCTTCCCCAGGAGCTGCTGCTGCTCCAGGGGAGATGGTGTGAAGGGGATCCCCATGGACAGCCACTGCTTGGACATCACCTCCAGCCCCATCTCCAAACCAGCACCCTGTCTCCCTCCTGAAAAACATCACCCTGTGTAGTCAGGGGAATCATTTGTTATATCTGCCATCTCAGAACTCTGCACAATCATACTCTAGACTCATAAAAAATGAGTTGATTTAACAAGTTTTTTTTACTTTCAGTAGTTTCTATAACAAAGTGCTGCATTTGCCTCTCACATCCCAACTCTTTCAGGGAACTCAACACTGTGTTTTAACAACACTCATCACATATCCTGAGTAGAAAAAGAGAGGGAAGAGTCCAGCAGAAGGGATCATTCAATGTGTTCTAGGTCTTGACTAATGAGTTTTTCCTCTAATGGTCTTTTATGGGCCTCTTACATCCTGGGCATCATCATATACTACTAGTCTTCCACATCCTGGACAAAATACTGGCATGCCAAACTTCACGAAAACTTCTGTTTTTTAAATATGTCAAAAAAGGGCCATGAGTTTGCAAGAATAAAATGAAGAGGTGTGGCGGTGTTCACAGGATTTCTTGGATGAGGGAAGACACGAGGATCTGACTCCATGTTTCAGAAGGCTTGATTTTTTATTTTATAATATACATTACATTAAAAGTATACTAAAAGAATAGAAGAAAGGATTTCATCAGAAGGCTAGCTGGGAAAAGAACAGGAAAGAATGATAACAAAGGTTTGTGGCTAGGCTCTCTGTCCGAGCTAGCTAGGCTGTGATTGGCCATTAATTACAAACACTTAACATGGGCCAAAGACCTACTTGTTGCATTCCACAGCAGCAGATAATCAATGTTTACATTTTGTTCCTGAGGCCTCTCAGCTTCTCAGGAGAAGAAATCCTAAGAAAAAGATTTTTCATAAAAGATGTCTGCGACTAAGAGGGGCTGTGCTGATGTCATCAAGGTGGGTCTTGACCACATGTGCACACCACTGGTGCTCCTCACCAGGTGTTTCCAGTGTCCTCTAGTGAGATTTGAGGGTGCTACATCCTACAAAACTCTGAGTCTTCGGCTGCACACGAGCCTGGAGCAGTTCTAGATGATGCTGTCCCTAAGCTTTTCCTGCCTGTAGGGCCTGTCTCTACCAAAACGAATCCATATATATCACCATCCTGAGTCACCTGCTTCCTCCTTTTTCACTGAGACATTGTTCCCACTACACGTGTCTCAGGCTCCATACCTAAATTTCAGAGCACTGGGCTGACTCAGTCCCCTATCTCCTCCACTGCCAGGCTCAGTGCTCAATGCCATTTCAGACTGTGGGGCAAAAAATCTTCAGACTTCCTAAGACATGGGTCCCAGACCAAAGTGAACACTGTCAAGGAGAACAGAAGTATCACTGTCCAGGGCAGAAAAGAAAGATGAAAAGTAGCCAGGAATGAGCCCATGATCTGGGATGTCCCCAGCATGAGCTGTGGACATGACCTCGTGCTCCAACCTAAACTGGTCTGTGGCCACAGAGAGGCAGCTGTACCTTGCAGCACCACACAGCCTTGCTCAATGGAGATGGGCACCCAGGAGGAGCATCCTCCATCTCCTCCCCATGAGGGGAATGAAGACAGTGAGCTTACTCAGTGTGTCTAAGAACAGATGTGATGGAAGAGGCCTATTCCATGTAGCCTCCTCAAGGCCACACATGTCTGTGCATCAACTATTCATTCATATCTGAGCATCTTCCCTGTGGTTTTGTGAGGAGCAACCTGTCCAAATTTCTGTCTATTACATTCTCCCAAGTCACAATTTCAGTTTCTGTCTCATCTGACGACTCCCCATTATCCTTGCTGCAGCAACATCTCTAAATTGGTGCCACTATGAGCAGTGCAACATTGCAACTGAATATGGTGCCCATGTGAGCCTCTTCTCCTCATGGTTTTGTCTTCTCTCATTATTGTACACTCCATTTTCTACAAGCTAAGTCCACTGTGCCCCCTTTGCCATGGAAATGTCCAAACATGGCTGGATATTTATGTGTGTGCTGGCACAAAGGAGAGCCAAAGAGGTTTTTGCTGGTTAATTCTGATAATACTGAAAATTAGGTTCTGCTCAGGTCTGCCCCATTTTGTCATAAATAAATCATAGCAGTGACAGAAGGTAGCACTCCAAGATCCTCACAGGAGGACAAGAAGGGAGAGGGAGACCACTGCAATGGCACATCAGGGTTCCCAGAGATGTCCCTTTGGTCACATTTCCAATACCCCGTGGAACCAGGCTTCCCTCTTCTTGACCACTCTGCCA